CTTTCTTTCTTTCTTTCTTTCTTTCTTTCTTTTCCTTCCCCCTTTCCTTTCCTCCCATTTCTTTCTTTCTTTCTTTCTTTCTTTCTTTCTTTTCCTTCCTTCCTTCCTTCCTTCCTTCCTCCTTTCCTTTCCTTCCATTTCTTTCTTTCTCTTTCTTTCCTTTTTCTTTCTTTCTTTCTCTTTCTTTTCCTTCCTCCTTTCCTTCCATTTCTTTCTCTTTCTTTTCCTTCCTTCCTTCCTCCTTTCCTTTCCTTCCATTTCTTTCTTTCTCTTTCTTTCTTTCTTTCTTTCTTTCTTTCTTTCTTTCTATCTTTCTTTCTTCCCTTCTTTCTTTCCTTTCATTTCTCTCTCTCTTTCTTTCTCCCTCTCCCTCTCTCCTTGGGTTGGTTACAGGTCGGTGCTATCTCTGGTTGATTTGGATTCTGAAGGCTTCATAGGCTGATTGTAGGTCAGTGTGTCTGTTGACGTCACTCTTTTTCAGTGACGTGGTAACTTTGAACAGCCACTAAAGAAACTGTTGTAAGTCAACATTACTGTGGTGTCTTTGGATATCGGTCATGGAGCCCATCAGGATACAGAACATATTCCGTGCAGCGGAATTCTTACCTCATTGCTTGGGCCTGATCCGAAGCTGCCTTCTCACTGCTGATGACTTGGAGATGTTGGAACCGATGCCTCAACTGCTCGTAGGTGGAAAGTTTGCTCCAGATGAAGGACAGGGGCCAAAATGTCAGAGCCCTGGAGGAAAAAAACAAACCCAGACCAATGAAACCAACACTGTTAATGAAGGATTCCCTCCTTCTGAGAACTTCTTTCTCAGAAAGCAACACAAGTAGTATTCCTTTGGGTGTCGGGCAAAGGCATTTGCTAGACAGTCCTCAACTTACAGCAGTTCATTTAGTGATCGTTCAAAGTTACAACAGCACTGAAAAACCCGACTTAGGAGCATTTTTCATGACCATTGCAGCCTCCTCGCGGTCACACGATCGAAGTTTGGCAATTGGTTCATATTTATGACGGTTGCAGTGTCCCGGGTCATGCGGTCTCTTTTTGTGACCTTCTCACAAGCAAAGTCAGACGGATTCACTTAACAGCTGTGTTACTAATTTAACCATTGCAGTCACATTGCTTCACAATTGTGGCGAGAAAAGTCTTAAAAATGGGGCAAAACTCATTTAACAAATGTCTCCCTTAGCAACAAAAATTTGGGCCTCGATTGAGGTCATAAGCTGAAGACTATCAGTAGCTGACAGCAACAAGGTAAAAGGTAAAGGTTCCCCTTGCACATATGTGCTAGTCGTTCCCGACTCTAGGGGGCGGTGCTCATCTCCGTTTCAAAGCCAAAGAGCCAGCGCTGTCCGAAGACGTCTCTGTGGTCATGTGGCTGGCAGGACTCAACGCCAAAGGCTCACAGAACACTGTTGCCTTCCCACCAAAGGTGGTTCCTATTTTTCTACTTGCATTTTT